ATAGCCCGGAAAAAGCTACAACAACCCAGTGATTCCGGCCATGAAATACAAAGCTCTGGTCCCTAACTGGTTGAATAAGCAGGTGATATTTGTATACAGATTTTTTTTTCATATTAGGAAAAACATTGAGAAACTGCAAGTCACTTCTGGTGTGAGAAAATTGGCTGTCTGCAAAGCTGGAACTAACAGACGGGAGCTCACCTTGCTCCCCGGATCTGAACTGCCGACCTTTCGGTCAGCAGTCCTGCCAGCACAAGAATTCAAACCATTACGCCACTGGGGCTTCCTGTATACAAATGATTTTAGTCTAGGACCTGGAAAATTAAATCATTAATCCCTGCAGTATATCAGAGTTATGAGTACATCACTCTGTGCATTGAACACCTAATCCGCTCCATGAGTAGAGTTGCCAAGTCTCAGGTTCTGGTTTTACTTCTTCACTTTTGGTAGGGAGAGAGGGATCTTAGGGTGAGAGCGCTGTCTTGAGAAATATATGTTTCATGCTAGAAGCATTACACTGGCCAACACACATTTTGGTGCCTCCAATGCTTCTGGGTATATTTGATGTACTGATTCCAAAAATGGCACCAGTTTCCCCATATCAGTTCTAGTTTTCCTCAAGTTGCACATTAAAAACATTTTAGCATAAAGATATCCAAATTAAATTATTGCCTCTTACATCTTTAATTCAAATATTTTATTCCTTTTATAGATTATTATACTTCATATTAGATAAATTCATTTTATAGTGTCCAACAAAAATGTATATTCTGTGCTCATTATTGATATCCATTGCCTTTTCACCTATGTTTGTATTTTTTCCTAATTTACAAGCTATTGCAGAATGCTCAAGAGATCGACAATACTATTGGACAGCATCAGGTAAGTCTGTCTTTGCAAAATGTCTTTGCACACATGTGGCTTGATTTTGAATTGTAATATCATCTTTTCTGCATCATAAATGCAAAATTGTCCTGCTTTGCATTTATTTTGCAATGAATATTTTGCTTAAAGTTTCCCGTACAATTATTTCCTTTTGTCTCAAATTTCACTTCTCATCTCATGTGGATGCTTAGCAGGGGGAGCTTTGATTAGTACTTGGGTGGGATAACACTAATCTATTTCAGATGCTGTGGGCTACATTTCAGAGGAATGAAATTAGTATTCAATGTCAGAGAAAACCCCATGTAATGAATGGAGTCATCCAAAGTCAACAGGCAACTTGAAGACACACATACAGATATAGCTAGTGTGTAGCTGATTAGGAATACTGTTCTTCCTGCAGAAACATTTGGCTCTTAAGAGGCTGGCTTTGTACCCATTTGAAGGATCTGCTCTCAGGGACAGTCCCTTAGGTAAATAGAATGTGGTGACTCCTCAAACAACTACAGTAGAGTCTTGCTTATCCAACCTTTGCTCATCCAATGTTCTGTATTATCCAAAGCAGTCTGCCTTCCTGCTGGGATCCACAGTTTTTTAATACATTGTGATGTTTTGGTGCTAAATTCGTAAATACAGTAATAATTACATAATGTCACCATGTAAGGAACTGCTTTTTCTGTTGATTTGTTGCAAAACATGATGTTTTGGTGCTTAATTTGTTAAATCATAACAAAATTGAATGTTTAATAGGCTTTTCCTTAATTCCTCCTTATTATCCAACATTTCCGCTTATCCAACGTTTTGCCAGCCCGTTTATGTTGGATAAACAAGACTCTACTGTAGTTTGTGGTGTCAGCTGCATGCTTAGTTGAATCGTATTAAACATGGGCAACATTTGTTGGTAAGGAAAGAACTACAGCTTAGTCTTTGCCCCTGCATGGGTCCAGATCAACATATTGGTTGAGTATATCCAGAGAGAAATCTACATGGGTAGAAAGCTACTACATGGTTCCTCTGAAACATGAGAGTGGGGCAGAGCCACTTGACTATAATCTTGGCATGTTCCCATCAGTCCCAAACTCCAAAAGTCCCACAAGCAGAAACCTGATTTGAGACCAATGGGTGCTAAAATTCACACTATAATTCTGTCACGTGAATATGCTCCTTGTCCTATTGTCATTATTGAAATAAAGTTGAACTGCCAGCCCAGTCAGCTTCTGTGCATGGCATGGAAGATTGCTCCACCTTGTCCTTTACCTTAGGCAGCACAATGTTGTGGGCTGGTGCTGGATAATTTTCTAGCTTTGTAAGCAAGGCTTCTAGTGAAGCAGACTCTTACTACACATCTCTTAAGTTACAATAAGTCCGTGAGCCTCTAAAGGGCCTCAAAAGAGTCAAGAGAGTGCTGTGCCAAGGCAGCAGGCTAATGCCACCAGTCCTTCTGACATTTGTCCCTTGTGGAGTAAACAGAAAGGTGAGGTGATGCTATCTTTACACCCTGCCGTGTCGTTTTGATCCCAAAGTTCTTTGAATTTTGACATTCCGTCCAGGCCTAACTTGGTACTTCCTGAAAAACTAATATTTAAAGAACAGTGGTTTTCCTGTCTATGCCAAACTGAGCTCCCATTTTTAGCTCTTGTCACAGGTTCCAGAATATGGCCCTGAGCCTGAAAACAGCTCTCCCACCAGTCATTGTCGCCACCTTTGCTGGAGGCCAAGCAAGAACAATGCCCATTTTGTTCAGTAGTCAAAACACGTGAACTCTTTCTTGTTATATCAGCCACCGAGGAACAAGCTTTAGGATGATATAAGTTGGCTAGACAAAATATTATTGGAAATACTCAACCCAAATATCTATATTGACTTATTCAAGGGTCAATGTGAGAACAGTATCTTAACTTTGGAACTTTGCTGAAATCCCCTGATTCTGAGTTGCAAACAAATCATGCTCCCCAGTTTATATACCTCAAGAAGCATTGATGGGTAATATAGAAGGGAGACTAGCACAAAACCTTGTCTTTTACACGGTATGACTTGCTAACCACTGACACAGGCATTTTGTTCAGTGAGCTGAAGGAAACCATTCTATTGCCAGAATTTAAATTAGATTCTGCAATTTGTCTATCAGCTTCTCTAAATGCCACTGATCCTGGTGAATATTAAATATGCTATCCTGTCTTTCACCTCATGCAGCAAAACATCTCAAAACAGCCCTGTTTGCCAGAGTCAGTAGTTGTACTATTGTTATTAGCAAGGGCTGATATTCAATATTATAGTTATGGATCTTGGGTAATAAATGTGCAACTGGTCTGTATTCAGTAGGACTACAGTCTGATTGTAAAACTTATATAATTTCCACCTCAAGACCCAGTAGTCGGATCACAAGGAAGAAGACGTTTCCAAACCCCTCCTGCCAGCCACTGAGGCTGCAATAGTTAGAAGGAGGACTCCTTGGCATATAGTCTTGCACACTGGTGGGAAGGGGGTAGAAACATCCTCATCCTTGCATCTCAATCAGAAGCCAAATGGGTCTCCTTTGCTCTGTCTAGTGACTGACTCTTAAGATGGACTGGAGGTGCCGGGTATTCTAAGTGACATTACTAAGTGTCAGACATAGGATATTGGTAGATTTTTAATGCTAGGCAGATTGACTTTCCTCTAGTTACCTCTTTGGCTGGAGGTAGAGAGTAGTGCAATGGCTGGAATTCTACAACATGAGCACCAGTGAGACTTATAACAAAGGGTGCTTCCAGATGTGTTTAAGAGTTTATGTCCCCACACTTCCCCCCAAAACCCATGCTTTCCAAAGGAGTGGGTTCTAGATGCCCTCCTAGAACCTTCAAAGAGGGCACTCAGACATCCAAAAAAAAAACCCCAGATTAAACCCTTAAAATTAAAAACATCTCACCTGGCCATCATTAAAGTACTTCTGGAGTCCCCCTGGTGCATAATTTCTATGAGGAGCAATTTTCTTCCTCCCCCCACCTTTCCCCAGTATATCATTTCTATGTGCCAGGAGGAATCCAGAAGTACTTTAATGCCTGTTGTTTTAATTTTAAAGGGGTTATTTTGGGGGTTTTGGATAGGGGGGCTGGTGCCCTCTTAGTTTTCTGGGTTCATGGAGCCCTTAAAATCCGAGAGGGTATGTAGATTGGGCCCAGGGATCATGTGATGTGGCCCCCAGGCCCAATCTACACTGGGCCCACACTTTGAAAGACATTGCTCTTACAAAAAATCTGGGTCTTACCAGATACCTAATTAATTCAGGACAAGCCAGGGTTTTTTTTGCTTTGTCTCAAACTAATTGGTTTTTCATTTGGACACCTCCGGTAAAAGCCCAACAGGTCCCACATTTTGGGCTCTGTCTGGATGGACCCAAAGTTTTTCAGGACACATATTCTTGTACATTGCTCCACTCAGCCATGCCATCCTCTTTTCTTTCCCATTTTGTTTTTGCTTCTTCCTCCAACCACCCTGGATTTTGTGCCTAATGAGTATGCTCAGTCTTCACCTGACTATTTTTGGGACCTCCCCTCTTTGACCCCCTCCTTTTAATCTCTACCTTCTAATTTTGCATCTCTTTATAGATTGCGTCAAGTACAGGTCAAAACAGAGAGCATGTTGGCACAGAGAACTATGGGAACATTTATGAAACTGAAAATCTGGAAAGGAACCATGTAAATACCAATTGCATCACAAGAGGAGACAGCATTGTTGGCCTTGAAGACTGTAAACCAGCAGAACCTTTCTCCAATGCCAATATAACCAACAGAGCTCCTCATTCCTTGAATTCTATTAGAAATGTGTTTGGTGAAGCTGAGACTAACCCTAGTAATGTAAGACCAAGAGGAGGTAAAGAAGACTTATCTGCTGAAGCAAGTATTGGTGAAAGGGAAACTGTGAAAGGCAGCATAGAAAATAGGGATATTAGTATTGGTGGCAGTGAATTGAATACCAACAATACAGTTCAGGAAGAAAATTCTGGACTTGTTCAAAACAATGTGAGCAAACATGAAGAAAATGCCAACATCATTAACCCAATTGAGGAGGGATATATTGATGTTGCAGGACATCAGAACAGTAGAGGTCAGAGTCTAAACAGCACAGATGGATATCAGCATATAAGTACAGAGCTTCAGAATATCCCTAAGGGAAGATCAGTTCAAGAAGAAAGTATAAACTGGAGAGTCATCATTGAAGATGCCAGTGGTAATGGTGAAAACACAGATGAAGAAGGTTCTGGTGATGACTGGGGAACTGGACAATCAGAAGGAACAGTGGTTCTTGGAGAAAACGAGAGTGAAAAACATAGTAATGGGAGCAGTAGTCCAACTTGTGATAACATTCCAAATGCGGGAAGAGAGGGCAATAGAGGCAACACAAATAATTCTCGCAATGCCCAAGATGATGAAAACATGAGCACAGGAAATGCAAAGCTATGCCTTGAAAAGAAAAGGGATGAGGTAGGCATGCAATTCATATTGTGTATGGTGGGGAAGTACTGCTCGTTTGAATATCTCTTTGATAGGGAGCCCTTAGTGGTACAATGGGTTAAATCATTGAGCTGCTGAGCTTGTTGATCGAAAGGTCGCAGGTTCGAATCCGGGGAGTGGCGTGAGCTTACGCTGTCAGCCCCAGCTTCTGCCAACCTATCAGTTTGAAAACATGCTAATGTGAGTAGATCAATAGGTACTGCTCTAGCGGGAAAGTAACGTCACTCCATGGAGACATGCCGGCCACATGACCTTGGAAGTGTCTACAGATGGGTCTTTGGCTTAGAAATTGAGATGAGCACCAACCCCCAGAGTCATACACAACTAGGTTGTCAGGGGACAACCTTTACCTTGATATTTCTCTCAGCATATATTTCTGCATTTCAAGGGTGAGAAAGTCATGCACAGTTCTTTGGTGTTCTTATGTTAGTCTCTGTTGTCTGTAGCCAAAGGAGAGTAATGCACTTATTTATTCCTAAAACAACTCTTATCACCTGTTCCACCTTTTACAATTACTTGAAGCCAGCAAAGAGACTCGTTCAGCAAGTATGTTGCTTAAAACCATCTTGTGAAACTTTTAAAATTAGAAGATCCCATCTGATCTTGCAACCTAAGCAGGGTCCACCTGGTTATTTATTTACTATATTTATATTCCGCCATTCTCATGCCCGAGGGGGACTCATAGTGGCTTACAGATAGGCAACAATTCAATGCCTTAGCAATGTACAATTAAAATGAACATTTGAATTACATTAAGATCAAAATTGAAATACATTAAAACATTTTAAAAACATTACAATCACTATAACACCATGCTATCTGCAATCATAATTCGGGTAATTCCGGTAGTCATTGCACATAATTCCAATCCGTCTATTGCACTATGGTTCTTCTCTGAAGGCTTGATCCCAGAACCATGTTTTCACTCTCTTTCTGAAGGTCAGGAGGGAGGGAGCTGATCTAACATCACTGGGGAGGGAGTTCCATAGCTGAGGGGCCACCAGAGAAGACCCTGTCTCTCGTTCCCACCGGTCGCACCTGTGAACGAGGAGGGACTGAGAGCAGGGCCTCCCCAGACAATCTTAATCTCCGAGATGGCTCATAGGGGGAAATATGTTCAGACAGTAAGCTGGGCTGAAACAATTTATAAGCTAAAGCCAGCACTTTGAATTGTGCTTAGTAGCAGGCTGGCAGCCAGGGGAGCTGATGTAACAGGGGGTAGTATGTTCCCTGTATGCTGCTCCAGTGAGCAAACTGGCTGCCACCCATTGGACCATTTGGAGCTTCTGAATGGTCTTCAAAGGCAACCCCATGTAGACCATGTTGCAGTTGTCTATTTGAGATGTAACCAGAGCATGGACCTATACTTTGATGGGAGATTACTATTTAGATGGGAGATTATCAAGGCATATCAGATGCTGTGGGCTATATTTCAGAGAAAGGCAATAGCAAAGCTACTTCTGAGTACTCTAAGCCGAGGAAAATTCTATGAAATTCTTGGAGTCAAGATAGGTTGGGAAGCAACTTGAAGGCATGTACACATACACTGCTATTATTATCATGACTGAAGGCACTCAGTGTGCTTGCTGAAGGCCAGCTTGAACAGATGAAAAGATACCATGTTGAATGCGGTGCAGTGCCTTACTCCAAACCCATTGTCATAGCCCATCATTTTAATTCTCCCAATTATAAATTATTTATTAGCAGGAGAAAAAGCCACAGGGGAATGTGACTTTTAAATGCTATTTTTTTCTGACAAATGCATCGATGTTTCTAACCACCTATTGCTTGCCTTGCACTGATAATTTTTGTCTTTCCTTTGATTCTGCAGGACCTGGAAAGTAGCACTACAGCTGTAAACAATGACACTGTAGGTAGTGGCAATGTGGATGAAACTGGAAATGATACAATCCCTGACAAAAGAATGCCCACAGATGGGTTTAATAATATGACCAGCTCTGAAGAGGCCAGCAGGCAGAGGACTGAAGTCAGGGGAGATCAAGCAAACAGCGGTGGCTCTAAAGATACCAGCGAAAGTGAGAGTAACTCTGTTTATAGTGTGAGTGATGAGCTGATGCAAGGGGATGAACCCAATGAAAGCCAAGGCTCTGAGGACAACAGCCAGCAAGATCCCTTTGCTGATGCAAGCAATGAGGAAGACTCAGAAGACACATCTCAGGGAGAGGGGAACCAAAGTACTGAAGAGAATGAGAGTGAGATGTCTGAGAGCGATGGGCAAGAAAGTAACGGTCAACCAGAGAGTAGTGAGGATGGCAGTGAGTCCGATGGACAGGCAGTTAGCAGTGAGAGTGGCAGCCAGACAGACAGCAGCCCAGGTCAACCAGAAAGCAGTAGTGAGAGTGACAGTGATTCCAAGGATGGCAGTGAGAGTGACAGTGATTCTGAGAGCAGCAGTGAGAATGACAGTGATTCCAAGAGCAGCAGTGAGAGTGACAGTGATTCCAAGGATGGCAGTGAGAGTGACAGTGATTCCGAAAATAGCAGTGAGAGTGACAGTGATTCCAAGAGTAGCAGTGAGAGTGACAGTGATTCCAAGAATAGCAGTGAGAGTGACAGTGATTCCAAGAGTAGCAGTGAGAGTGACAGTGATTCTGAGAGCAGCAGCGAGAGTGACAGTGATTCAGAGAGTAGCAGTGAGAGTGACAGTGATTCCAAGACTAGCAGTGAGAGTGACAGTGATTCCAAGAGTAGCAGTGAGAGTGACAGTGATTCCAAGAGTAGCAGTGAGAGTGACAGTGATTCTGAGAGCAGCAGCGAGAGTGACAGTGATTCAGAGAGTAGCAGTGAGAGTGACAGTGATTCGAAGAGTAGCAGTGAGAGTGACAGTGATTCTGAGAGCAGCAGTGAGAGTGACAATGATTCTGAGAGCAGCAGTGAGAGTGAAAACAGCAGTAGCAGTGAGAGTGATGGGAAATCTGAGAGTAGCAGTGATAGCGAAAGCAGCAGTAGTGAAAGCAGCAGCAGTGAGAGTGAAAGCAGCAGCAGTGAAAGTAGCAGCAGTGAGAGTGAAAGCAATTCTGATAGCAGCGAAAGCGATAGCAGCAGCAGTAGCGAAAGTGACAGTGAATCAGACAGCAGCAGCGAAAGTGAATCTGAGAAGAGCAGTGAAAGCAACATCAGAGAAAATGATAGTCAAGCTGGTAGCAGTGAAAATGAGACCAATTCAGAGACTGAAAGTGAGGGGGAAGACGAGCCCTCAAGCAACGAGAGTGAAAACAGTTCAGCAGATCAATCCAATGATACTGTCAGCAACAGTGCTGCAGATGCCAGTGATGATGAATCCACAGGAAGCGAGGCAAGTGACAGCAGGGCTCAGCCTGAAGCCATAGACAGTGAAAGTGATTCCATAAGTAAAGGCAGTGAGAGCAATGACTTGACCAGTGATGACTAACCTAAAGGGAAGAAAGACCAAATGAATCCACCTTGCAGCAATGATGGCAGAGAATGGGTGAACAAGTGAATATACAGGAGCAAAGATAATATTCTTAAGCACACGACTCCACAAAAATAAGGTCAAACTGGTTTGGGGAAAACATTAGGAGAAAAAGTGCAATTGTAGTCCCATTTTGTCCAGAATCATGGAATTTAATACATAAATAAAACATATGAGCATTCACATTTTCAAGTATTATAATTTATTTTAGCATTAAATTAACTTATTTTTTTTTTCACAATAGATACTTGATTGTCACATAACTCCAATTTTAATATACAATCTCATGCATCAAATATCAATATGGTTTGATGGCTTGCATGTGTGAATGAGCCACTGTGAAACGCCTGGTAAAACCGCATTCCTCTGTCTTCTTTGCATCCTTCTTTAACATTGTGGTCCCAACATTATACTCATAAAAATCAATGTGCCCCATGTGTAAATTGTAAAATAAATTATTATTTTTTCATTTTGTCATATGTTTTTTTCCCTTTAAAAAAGAAGTCAATTTGGTTTTTACTCTGTCTTGAAAATAAAACAAAAAAATTGAAACAGGCTGAGTATTCCTTATCCAAAATGCTTATGATGAGAAGTGTTTTGGAAATCAGATTTTCTTTGGATAATGGCATCTATGGACAATGCGGCTCTTTGGCTTAGAAATGGACATGAGCATCACCCCCTAGAGTCAGACATGACTAGACTTAATGTCAAGGGGAAATCTTTACCTTTACCTTTGGATTTTGGAATATATGTATACTATAAACTATCTTAGAGTTAAGATCCAAGTCTAAACACTAAATTAATGTATATTTCATGTCCATCTTTTATAAATAGCCTACAGGTAATTTTGTACTATATTTTTAAATGTTGTGCATGAATCAAGTTTGTATACACTGAACCATCAGAAAACAAAGGTGAACTCCACCCCAAAATATAGCCCCAGCACCTTGAATAGCGTTTTTAAAGTTTGGAGTACCATCTAGAACAAATTCACCAATCCAGCTGTTGGAATTCAACCCTACACTGTCCAAGTCTCTAGTTCTGAATGAGGAACAAGTTAGTTATAGTTAGCTTAGAATAGGCTGAAGATTTCCCTTCCCCCATGTCTCCTGTATGACAATTGGAATGTATCTGTTTATTCTCTCCTTTCTGTGTTTTTGCTTTCATTCTGATTGGTTGTGTAGAATGAATACTTTTCTACTGCAAGCCTTTACTTCGACTTCTACTTTAACAAGTGGCTCCTGACACGACCAAAAAAAATATCTTGGAATATGCTGTATATTTTGAGCTCTCTTGTGTGTCAGGAGAGATGCAATGGCTGGTGTTTTCCCCCTCTCTTGAAACCTTAGAAGAGATTGGTGTTAGAGTAGTTCAGACCCAGTTCTTTACCATTAAGTAATATAAATATTATTATTGTAAATAAACCTTTTGTGATTTTTAAAGACAGGACTCTTCATCGTTGCCTGCCTAAGCTCCAAATTCTTTACAGCCACATCTAATGGCACTTCATGCTCTGCTAGCTGTGAGCTGATTGCTCAGCTAAAGGTTTTGTTGTTGTTTATTCATTCATTCACTCTCAACGCTTTGTGACCTCCTGGACCAGTCATGTCAGAGCTCCCTGTCAGCCATCGCCACCCCCAGCTCCCTCAGAGTCAAGCCAATCACCTCAAGGATACCATCCATCCATCTTAACCTTGGTCGACCCCTCTTCCTTTTTCCTTCCATTTTCCCCAGCATCATTGTCTTCTCCAAGCTTTCCTGTCTTCTCATGATGTGGCCAAAGTACTTCATCTTGGCCTCTAATAACCTTCCCTCCAGTGAGCAGTCTGGCATTATTTCCTGGAGTATGGACTTCTTTGATCTTCTTTCGGTTCAAGGCACAACTATAGGTATCCTGTTTGTATTTTGGATGCTCTGCTTTTTAGGGTAATTTTCCCTAACACCAGCAACATGGGGACCATCACTTATCACTGGTTTTCAGATTTTCTTTAAAAATGAAGACTTGAATTTGGCTTTCATCCTTTTGAACTTTGACAGTTTTATAAAGGAGGAAATAACAAGTATTCAAAATCAGGAATTTATTTTTGTTTTTATTTATCAAATGTGACATTCCTTTCAAAAGCTAACATTTTGATACAAAGACAATCCTGGATGCTTAGTAGCTCCTCCACTTTTATAGGGTCTAAGGGTGGAGAATCCCTTTGGGAGCAGAAAAAAGCATGAATTAAAAAACACATTTTAAACCCGAGAGAACGCCTCTCTAGGAATCTCCAAATCCTAATTTTACAAGTTAATTCTATTGTCAACTTCTGTCAGATGTTTTTACATCTAAAATGAGATTTCTGCATAGTACCTATTGGTTGGAGCAAGAGGTGGTCTGCAGCTTTGGTCAGAAAGACCATAGCTGATCAAACTTTCAGGCTTCCACCCACTTAATGAGCAATGCTTGCTTAAGATAAACTATATATAAGGAAATCTAGGTAAATGCAGCCCCAGTGTGGTTTCTGAAGGCACAGAAAAATAACCCACCAAAATCATAAGTCACCAGTACTTTGTTTAAGTAGAGGGTTGAAACTCTGTGGCTAAAACCAGGGAAGGTACAGGTAGTGACTGAAAGCATCAACAGGAACTATAACATCCTTGTTACCATGTAAGGAAAGAAATCACCTCCTACTGGGGTTCTCTTGTTCCTGTGTGCCTTCAAGTCATTTCCAACTTATGGTTACTCTAAAATGTCCTATCACTGGGTTTTTGGGACTAGGGTTGTGTGACTAACCTAAGGTCGTCCAGTGTGTTTCCGTGGTCAAATGGGGAATTGAATCCTGATCTCCAGAGTCATACTCCAACACTAAAACCATAACATCACTCTGGTTCTTAAACTTAATCTAAGAAGGAAAAAATCAGCCTCTTTCAGAAACACTCAAAATTTGGAGTTGAAAGACTATTTCATTAATGGGCAGAACTCCTCCTCCTCCTCCTCCTCCTCCTCTTTCTCCTCTTTTTCTTTTGAGAACAATGTTACGCTTCTCATCTAGTTCATTTGTAACATTATTTGTAAACACTTCACTTCACTTAGATATTTAGACAATCCATTCCTCAGCTTTCATGCAGATCACAACATCTTCTCTATTTGCCTCCATTTGTATCTATTTCAAGCATGAATTGACCAGTGTACCATTGAATGACTATGTTCATCACTCACATTATATGCCATATGGAATGAATCAGATCATCGGGTGGGAGAATGACCAAGAAATCTCATCCATTCCTGTGAGTACCATGTTGCCATGTAAACACAGCCACCCAGTCTCTAACTTGTGAACTGGAAAGAGACATAGTTATTCTTGTGGTATAATCACATGAAGCTTAAAACAGAAGGAAGACAGTGGGACCAACACTGGCCTCTCTTATCATGTTATCACACCAGGGCATTAAAGTGGGCAGTCCTGCATTTCTGTTGCCTGCAGAATTCTGGGAAATGTAGTTTAGGGTGGGCCTTTTGAATTCTTAGCTACAAAGGTCCTTGCCTTCCCAAACAACATTTCCCAGAATTCTGTAGGTGTCATAAATGTGGGACTGCCCACTCTAAAGACCTGGGTTGGAGACATTCATATATGATGCTGTTCTTCCTTCCTACTACATTGTTTTTCTATTCTTTCTTCTGTCCTGATATTTGTTATTTATAAATTCCCTGCACAGATTCTATCAGGTTTAGGAATTGTTCCCAGACCTTGATAAAGTGTTTTGTGTTTCTTCTTTGTTCATCATTGCTAATTTGTCCATTTATGAACAAATAAGCTGGCCCCATTTTCCAACAAATCAGGAAAGGGAGTTGGAAGTCTGAATACCCAACAGAACTGCATAAAATGTCATGTATATTTCTGTGGATTTGTGTATGTACCTTTTGAAGTGTATTGTTTGTACTTGCATCCTATTTGGCCAAATCAATCAATAAATCATAATTCAACCCAAAGCACTTGTTCTCAATCTGGGCTGATCTGGTTTAGCAGAAGCTCACCAGGCACAGACGCCCTTATCTGCGGTCCTAGCTGAAATCTCTGCAATATGGCAAGAATCAATCAGGAAATGGGCAGAATGTTTTAAGCTGAAGTACAGAGACACTTTCTAAGATAAATAGAAGCAGCTCTGACAAATGCTGGAAATGGAGCCTAGTGTTGGAATATTTTACCATATGTGGTGGTCTTGCAAAATATCCTGAAATATGGGATTATATTATATTTATGCTGGAAATTATTGTTAAGGTTAAATTTGAGACCCAGGTTTTGTTTGTTGGGAATGCAAAATGACTGTTTAGAAAGAACATTGGGAGCATACTACAACATATGACAACAGCCACAAGAATTGTATATACCCAAGGATATGCCAGGTTAGCCCAATGTAAGAATGGTTAATAAATAAAAATACTTTTTTTAAAAAATGGGGAGAATGTAAAGGCAGTGTTACAAGCTGGTGACTCACAGCTCACCTATTAACTCCTAAGAGAAGCCACTAAAGCGGAAACCCTGCTGAGAACCGTCACAGTGATGTTTGGGAGAATTTTTAAAAATAAATAAATACTTCTCTTCTTAGTGTTCTATAAGACTTGGTTTTTCAAACCACCTTGGGAGAAGCCCTTCCTGGCAGCTATTCCTAACATTTATGTGGGTGTGATGAGGAAGTGGCTGAGCTGTGTGTGGGGAAAGTGAGGAAGTTACTTGCTCCTCTCATGGCTCTTCTTCTGCTTGGATAAGCTCTCCCTGCCTCCAGTTTCTTGTGTCTCTAACAGGATGTGGCTAGGTTTTATTTCAGTCTTCACTGGGTGCAGCTGACAATGGAAGAGTTCTTAGTGCCTCTTCATGGGGATGGAAGCATCTGTCTATTTCCAACCCATGTACCTTGCTGCATTTATCCATTCATAAGTTGGATCATTCTCATTTTCACATGAAA